ATCTTTTGCATATTTTTCTCGTCCGCTAAAAAGTGGTCAGACTTCCAAGAACTGTCTTGGGTCTTCTTTAGTTTTTTCATTCGAAAATCTATTAATTTCCAGAGACTATCCATGGCAAGCAGCTGTTGTATTCTACGATGGTTCCAACAAAGGGCTGATGTGCGGTGCGACTGTTATCAACGAGTACTGGGTACTTACGGCAGCACATTGTATTATGTGAGTTTTCGCCATTTATTGGCTAAGGTCGTAATGGAGTGATAGCAAAGCAGAGCTTTTCAAATCAATCAGTTACTTTTCCTGTCGCGCCACGCATTCCACCTCAGTTGAAGATTCCTAGTGGTTTTTCAATGCTATTTGGCCTTTGCAATGAGTTGTAGAAAGCCAACCTGTGTACGAAGGCAGTGTACAACCTTGTGCGCTGCTGACGCTGGGCTGGGATTGGCGCGGCGGTAGTCAGCTTTCCACTTATTATAATCGCCTTCTAGCTTCCACAATTTGTGGAGAGCAGACTGATGCCGTGCCGAACCTAGCTTCCCCCTCCCCCCCCCCCTCAAAAACGTACCAGCGTCTGCCGCGAACAGGACCGTATGTATTCTCCAAGATGTTTTCGGCTCCACACGGATAGGAGGCTTTCTTCGCTTGGCACCCGATCGAACTCTAACTCCTGATTGTGCGCGTACCAAGCTGCCTTTCTGGCCACTACAGCACCCACACCCTTGGAATAACATTATTATAGATATTCTTTCCTGTAGGATATTCATTTAATCTTTCCTAGCCACCCTCACTGTTTCTTTTGCAACGTTCCTTTCTATAACTAGCCGCTACCGATATATGCTACATGGCTTAGTGGCAGACAGTGTTAAGTGCAGTCTACATCGATGTGAGACTTGCAAATTCAGTCACGTGCAGATGCCAAGATCCTGGGTAACTGAAACGCGAGTCTAGATTTGTTCAAATGAGGCTGACGAGCGCTCAAGGCTGCGTTCATACTTCACGGCTGGATTTTCGATTCTCTCGAATCCCAAATGGCATGGTCTGGGAATGGCGCAAATGAATCATTCCACTGCAATATATGAACGTGACCTGAAACACCGTGCCTACATTCAGGTGCTTGAAGA